CTGTTCCTTCCCTTGAAGGAAGAAACAGCTGGGACCACACATTGCTGCTCAAAGCACGAAGCTGAAAACGCCAGCCTGAAGATGACGAATGGGACTTCGTCGAAACGTCGCCAAGATACTTCCAATTTTACGCGGGAGAAAACCCAAACAACCAAAGACCTACATACAAATACCCGCAAAAACCTCAGAAAACAAATATATACATATATATTTATGGATGGATAAAGACCTATATATATATATATATATATATATATATATATATATATATATATATACACATACATACATACATACATATATAATATGCAAGCATATTGTTTTGCTTATCCATTGAAATTTTGGGCTCACTTGTGGTTGTAAGTGAAGGATTACCTGGATGCAAAAATTGAAAACAAACAACTAATAATCTGAAAAGATTGCACCAATTCTGGAAAGAACAACACCCAGAATCAGAAATAAGAAAACAGAAGCTAGTAGAATAACACACTGAGTTATAATACAAAATAAAATATCCACAGAAGAGAATTGGAAGCGCTGCAAAGTTTTACTCAAGGAGAATAAATTGAAACCTTAGCCAAAGTAGCTGGGACTGTGGAGGCAATCCACAGGGAATTGGCAGTAGAAGAAGCCAGAATAGCTACTGGATTGTTTTAATTCTTAAACCAGGCACCTGGTCCTCAGCCTTTTTCTGAGGAACAACAAAGCCCTCTAATTAGAAAAGAAGAGGAACTGAAACAAAGAATAACTCAGCATCTACATCACAAAAACATCAGAATAAGGTCACCTGGGTTGAAGCTTGTTCCAAAGAAACAGCACAAGTATTAAAAGAGATTAATGTTGTAATATCAAATATCAGCACCAGCTTACTGCAAGGAACAAGCCAACTAATGTACCTCATGGCTGCAGTAATACCTAATTATTAAATAACTTGGATGCAAAATCAACAAACAAGAAAAAAAAAACAAACAGTGCACCACCAAAATGGAAGATCAGGCTAAAAAATACATTCAGCATACTAAGATCAGATACAAGCAAGCCACAACAAATGAAAGAAAATAAATCGGAAAACAAAAAGGGCAAAGAATAGCTGATCAAGAAGTTATCACCTAGAATGTTTTACTTGTTCATTTTCCAGATTTAAATTCAAGAATAGAATAGAATAGAATAGAATAGAATAGAATAGAATAGAATAGAATAGAATAGAATAGAATAGAATAGAATAGAGCTGGAAGGGACCTTGAAGGTCTTATAGGAGACGGTATAACATCTCATACAGGTGATTGTCTAGTTTTTTCTTAAAAATCTCCAGTGATGGAGTGTCCACAATTTCTGGTGGCAAGCTGTTCCACTGGTTGATTGTCCTCACTATCAGGAAGTTTCTCCTTAATTCCAGGTTGCTTCTCTCTTTGATCAGTTTCCACCCCTTGTTTCTCATCCTTCCCTCTGGGGCTTTGGAGAATAATTTGACCCCCTCTGCCTTGTGGCAGCCCCTCAGATACTGGAACACTGCTGTCATGTCTCCCCTATTTCTTCTTTTCTTTAGACTGGCCAAACCCAAGTCCCATAACTGTTCTTCGTATGTTTTAGTCTCCAGGTCTTTGACCATCTTAGTAAACCAAAGGCAGACATGACCTTCTGATTCTACCTCCTCCTTGGGTTTGAGGGAAGTCAGAAGTCAATGCCTTTTTTTTCCTCCCTCACCTCATTTCTCTACTCTCTCTCCCTTTCCCCATCTTTTCCGCTATTTACTTTATATGTTGATTGTATTGTAAATTATAAACTAATAAAACTTTGTAAATCGTAAAAAGAAGTTATCACTTAGAAACAAGGAAGATCAAGATCAAGTTGAAGTCCACAAAGTGGTTGGCATTGAGAAATATTGCTTTACGGCAGGGGCCTTCAAACCTGGCCCTTTTATGACTTGTGCACTTCAACTCCCAGAATTCCTCAGCCAGCCTACCTGGCTGAGGAATTCTGGGAGTTGAAGTCCACAAGTCATAAAAGGGCCAGGTTTGAAGACCCCTGGCTTAAGGAATGAGACTAGAAAGTGGGAGACCCGTGAATTCTAGTCCTGCCTTAGTCATAAAAGCTGGCTGGGTGACTTTTGGGCCAATCACCAGGAGTTCTAGTGAGTTCTAGTCCTGCCTCAGGCATGAAAGCTAGCTGGGTGACTTTTGGGCCAATTATCAGGAGACTATGAGTTTTAATCCCGCCTTAGACATGAAAACCAGTTGGGTGACCTTGAGCCAGTCATCCTCCCTCAGCTCAACCCACCCTCACAGGGGGTGGTTGTTGTGGGGAATATAGAAGGAGGAAAGTGTGTTGGATTTGTTCGCCCCTTGAGTTATTTTTCAAAGTAATAAAGGCAGGATACAAATAAATAAGCCAGGGGTCTTCAAACTTGGCCCTTTTATGACTTGTGGACTTCAACTCCCAGAATTCATGCTGGCTGAGGAATTCTGGGAGTTGAAGTCCATAAGTCATAAAAGGGCCAAGTTTGAAGACCCCTGAAATAAGCCTTACATTGAAAAGATATACATTTACTCTCTTCTAGAGTAATGAACAATGATGGCATCTTCAGAATAATGCCAGTGAATACTGAACAAAACCCCCAATTGCCAGGCAGTTGATAGAAGTAGGCCTATTGTTTGAACACACCAGTGGAAAATCAACAACTACTGAGACTGTACATTTTGTTTAAAAGGGGATATAATTTAGGTCCTAGCTACAGTACATGTCTTGCCTTAAGAAGACAGCGCCATCTAGGGGTCTTCAGTACAACTGGTGCTCAGCTAAGGTTTAAGCCAGCCTTTCCATCTGGTGTACTTCAAAATGGGTTTGGACCAACATAGTCCACAGATTGAAATTAGCTGTATGTATCTGTCAAGCAGTAGGTTAGGATATGCAGAGCGGAGTTTACTGGCAAAAGTTCATATTTTTCATATGGACTATTTCACTAGTTTGTTATACAGATAGTCCTTGACTTATAACCTGTTGTTATAACAGATCTCCGGTTACTTACAACTTGTTTTTGAAGGGCTGATGGAGGCACTCTTCTCACCTACCCCTGTGCTCACCCAATCCCGCAGCAAATGGGAGCCAGTTGCCAAACACCCAAAATGCGATTACAATCCCAATTTTTAACATGGTTTTGCCAGCTTCTGGTGTTTACTTTTGGTTTCCAGCCAACAAAGCCCATTGGGGAAACTGGGGGTTGCTTAATGACTGTGGAATTCACTTACCCACCCCCAAAAGTCATAATTTTGGGTGGGGTCAGGTGGTAATCTGTTGAATGACTGCCATGACTTAACAACTGTAATTCGGTCAATTAGACTTGTAGGTTGAGGACTCATTTATTCTGCACAGCCGTCAGTCACCCAGTCTACCCATATGGTGTAACATAATTGAGGGTAAATATGGCCAAGCTAGCTTATTTCATGCAATTATTTAAACTTGTGTATGAATTGTTAGTGCAGAGGTCTTCAAACTTGGCCCTTTTATGACTTGTGGACTTCAACTCAGCATGCCTGGCTGAGGAATTCTGGGAGTTGAAGTCCACAAGTCATAAAAGGGCCAAGTTTGAAGACCCTTGGCTTAGTGATATAGGATAGCATCCCAACGTATGCCAAAATACCAGCATCACAACAGACTAAGGCAGTTTCATGACCACAGAGCCTAAACTGCTCCAGACTTCCTCTACAGATAGTCCTCAACTTACAACCGTTCATTTAGTGACCTTTCAAAGTTGCAACACTGGAAAAGCGATTTACAACTTTTTCACACTCACAACCGTTGGAGCATCCAAAGTCGTGCGATCAAAATTCAAGCACTTGGCAACTGGTTCATATTTGCGTCGGTTGTCGTGTCCCGGGGGGGGGGGTCATGTGCGATCCCCTTATGTGACCTTCCGACAAGCAGTCAGTGGGGAGGTCAGATTCACACAACAACTGTGTTACTAACCTAACAACTGCAGTGATTCACTTAACAACGGTGGCAAGAAAGATCGAAAAATGGGGCAAAACTCACTTAACAACTGTCTCAGCAACAGAAACGTTGGGCTCAGTTGTGGTTGTAAGGACTACTTGTATACGTATGTTAGCAGGTTAGGATATGGATTTGATTGGCTATCTCAGTGGTGGCGAACCTATGGCATGCGTGCCAGAGGCGGCACTCAAGAGCCCTCTGTGGGCATGTGCGCTGCCGCTGCCAGCAGCTTGCGCAGGTCCATTAGGTCGTCACCACTGCCCGGAGCGGCAGCCCCACCCAGCACAAAAGAGGCGAAGCGGCCAGCTAGCAAACTTGAGTAGAGGTGGTAGAGCATGCCCACGCCCAAAGGCCACCCCGAGCAGGGAAAGCCAGATCCCCATCAGCACCATGGCCCCCCAGTCCCAGCTAGGATTGCGTGCCTCCCCATCTATGCTGGGCCTCCTGCCTACCGCCCCACCTGCCAGAGACCCCCTCGATCTCCCCCAACCCTGCCCGGCCCCCAGAGGCATCCCCCCCCATGAGCAACATCGAGGTGGCCATGCCCACCCAGTCTGCTGTTATAACCGCAGCCATGCCCACCCAGTGGGCCACCCCCCCCCCAGGGCACCACAATGCTGAAGCGGCCCTGTCACTTTGCGCTAAATAAGTGGGCTTTGGGTTGTGGTCTAGGCACTCGGGTCTCTAAAAGGTTCGCCATCACTAGGCTATCTGATCTGAAATTCTACCTGTAATCACCCTCCTTCACTTTGTTTTCTACCAGGTTATTTTTTAAACGCATCTAGTCTGGTTATATGTTGTGCAGGATGGTGTCGAAAATCTCTCCAGAAGCCTAGGATAAGTTCATTACCATTTTCTTGTAATATTATCTTCACTTTCACTTTATCTTCACATCCTCATTACAATTAACTTTCCAGTTACTCAGAAGTTGTGACCACTTCCTTAAAAATGTGTTCTGGTTTCTGATTTTGTCCCAGCTGCCCTGTTATACCAAAAATCACCAGAGACTCAGATAAGAAAAGAAAAAAAAAGCATTTGGTTTTATTGACTAGAAGCAGAGAGAGAGAATCTTGAGTTATTTCTGAGCAAAAATAGCTTTCAAAAAACATTCTGACAGTCTGGTAGTACCAACCCCCCCCCAACCTTCCATATACATTATTTATATCATATACAAGGTATAATAAATTAATATCTACATGCAACATACAGAAAGTAACGTACACTGTAAAAAATACAATATTTTTCAGCTTATTTTGTTTTTTAAGTTTTTTTTTACAGGTTTTAATTTACATTTTTACACATTTTTGTAAACTTTTTTTTTCTTTATAAAAATCAGATCACACCGCACGTTATCAAACATTCACCTCTGCTACACAGGAAAAACACACAAAGCAAGGATCATAACTTTATTGCAGCTTCATTTCAACCATAGCCTTGCTTTCACATTATTAGTACAGACTAAATGACTTCTTTTGCTTACTTTGCATATATTTGAAGGAACTAAAGTAAAGCAACCATTAAGTCTGTGCTTTAAAAAAAAAAGGGGGGGGGGAGAAGGCAAGCAATTAAATGTCATGACACCCATTTTATCAACTTCACATTTATCAAAACTTCTCCATAATCAATTGCCTTTCCACTAACCATTTTGACTTAAGCATGCAAAAGTTAATGAATATAGATTTACTTAATAACGATGTAAAAGAAATACTGAAATAAGCTATGGGAGGGACTGGGGACTTTACATTGAAATCCGGTACTTTCTAATTTTAATAGTATGTTTTTTGTTTTAACAGCAACACTAAGGTTTTCTAAAAACATTTCATTTCCTAATTTGAGGATTTGAAAGGTCACCTTTAGAAATTTTAGCACTAAAATATGCTTCAGAACCGATGTGGATTGGTTTTGCGTTTAAAAAAACAAAAAAGCAGCTTATTTATTTCGACCCCAAAACAGCATTGGTGATTAAAACAAGTCTCCTGAAACTCCCAGGAATACTTTTTCTTTAAAAGAATAACACAAAAAAAATTATTTAAAATCTTTAAAAAAAAGAAAAGAAATTCATATACATCACTGCCATTTCATTTATCCACCAAATACGTCACCACCAGGATTCAACCTATGTTCAGCAGAGAATTCCAGCCCAGCTCAAAGTTTTTGACGCTGTCTTGTGCTCCGGTGGTGGCAAATCTTGTGCTCCTGTGGATCGTCTCTCGCTGAGCAAGGTTTGAAATGGTTCACTTGATCCCTCGCGCCACATCAGACGTTACCATCGTACAAAGGTAAAAAGCACAATACGTACTGTGAGTACTCCATGAGATCTTGTTCCAAAGGACAAGGAATGCTAAGATCAGCTTTTTCCCCCCCCAACCGTAGCACATTCCGGCCGTGTCGATTTCGACCCCCAGAATTTTTTTATCGACAAGTTAAGGGGTGGGGCTGCTGATTCTGGGAGTGGAAGCCTGCACTTGGAAGGCACCCGAGCGGGAGAGAGGGCTGGTTTAAGAGACTTATTGCCTAAAAATAGTATGATGCGTCGAACAGCTCAGACTAGCACATGGAATCGAAGGAGAGAGCTTGCCACTTTGATTTTGGTTTGAGGTCAAAAAAGAAGGCGCCTTCTCCGTCACTCGAAGGGGAACTGCTCAGGCTGTCTTCTCCACAGCTCATGTCTTCACAGGAGTCCTCGCTGCAAAAAGAAAACGATGACACTAATCAGCCATCACGAAGAAAGAAAAGGGGAAAAAAAAAGAGTAACCAAATATGGTACAGTAGCCACCGACTTGCAGCCAGTTTGCTTAGTGTCCGTTCAAAGTTACAACGGGACTGAAAAAAAAATGGGGCCTAGGACCGTTTTTTCACACTAATGACCCGTTGCAGCATTTCCACGGTCAGGCGATTCACATTCAGATACTTGGCAACCGACTCGCATTTATGACGGGTTGCACTGTCCCGGGGGGGTCATGTGATCCCCTTCTGGGGAAATCAGATTCACTTAACAACCGTTGTTACTAATTTAACAGCTGCAGGGATTCACTTGACAAAGACGGCAAGAAAAGTTGTAAAATGGGGCAAAGCTGACTTAACAAATTTCTTGCCTGGCGACATAAATGTTGGGCTCACTTATGGTTGTAAGGTGAGGACTGCCTGTATTCATCATATGTTATTCTCTTCTGAGTCAGCCAAGTTACTGTACCTTTTTCCTTATCAAAGTATTTTTTTTTAATCAAACATACCCAATTTTCTAGCAAATATATCCGCCTCTAACCAGATATATTACATTTGAATCAGTGAGTAACTAGCTGTGATGGGAGTTAGACATAACAATATTGTAACTAGTGTGAGAATCAAGGTTTTTTGAAATAAGAGATGATAAGAAATGGCCGGGTGGAAGAACTGGAGGGAAAGCCTGCATTTCAAACTAATTGGAGAATGTGATTTATGACTGTAAATTAGAGGAGGGAATTGTGCTTTGATACTATGTGCCAGGGGAGGGGAATTCAGATTTTGGCTTCAACTATGTTAGTGCTGAAGCTATGCTACTCCAATAAAGATTCTTTAAGGTAAACAATGCCTCGAAGTTCTTTGAAGAGTTTCATCTGTCGGAACCATGACACTGGCTTTGCAAGCTTCAGAATTTTAAGTGCAAAGGTCAAAACAGTTCTGATAATCAGCCACTTAGGTTATTGAGCCCACTGATGGCATCAATAACCTTCCAGAAGAATCTCAGGGAGGTCTCCTAAAACATTTTATTTGTTTTTCATATTTTTTAACCACCCATCTCCCTCGGATATTTAGTGAGATGCTGGTAAGGCTGTAAACTCAAGGAACATTCTTTCCCCTTTGATGGGAATATAATACAAGTTCCCTGAGTTATATTTGTTACATGTATTTGATGAGCCAAAATTTAAAATGGCAAATTAAAAAAAAACCCTACTAATTTTCTACATCTAGCTACCAAATTAGTTTTTGCTAAACAATGAAACTCTCCAGATAGCATCTTAGCAGATAAAGGACATAGTAGGAGGTAATATTTAGCTTTGTCTGAAAAAGCCTTTGATAAAATCCAGTGTAGGAGAAGTCGTGAATCACCGTTTGACAGGGAATTGTAAGAGTTCATTGTGTATAGGAGATAAGCATCCAGGCAACAGCTTGTTTCAAAAATTATGTGCACTTTAAAATGTACCAGCCCTAGTCATCTTTTGAAATTAAGTAGATAGACAGGCAGACAAGCCCGAGCCAGATCATGGAAGGAGAGGATTGCAAAACGATTTCCATACTTTTCCAAGAAAACACAGGTATCTTCATGTTGTAATCATCAGCACAATGCAAAGGAGACTTAATGTACGATTTGAAATAAAGATGCTTTGAAATACCAGGTAATATAATTTAAATGATGGCTGTCCATTAGACTCCAAGCAGCAAACAAAATTCTACTGCTGTTAAGAAAGAGATGTGCGGATTCAGCAGTGCTGGTAATTATCTTTTCCCACTGTGATCCTCAGTCTCATTAGCATAATTGTGTACTTAACTACTCATCTCATTGCCACTGACAAAAAGGAATCTGAAGAGAGATGACTTCACTGGATAACCAGAGACATCAGCTCCTCCCTCTGCCAATCTGCATGCCATCGTATTTAATTTAAAGCATAGGGGAGTGGGGGTGGGGAATGGAAGGTAGCACGTTCACCAATGATCGTGGAAGAGCTAATTGCTATGGCCTTGGAAAAACCAACTCACAATTACCGACATCTCAGTGCAAACATGGGATTTAATTCAAAGTACATACCCAGCCTTAAATAATCTGAGAAGTCTACTGAAAACATAGGAGAATGGAAAAGCCATTCTATTCCAATGGGAATAAAAAGCTTCCCAAAATAAAATAGCTTATTCTAGTTTACCCTACTAGGTCCTCTCTAAATATACGCCCCATCTTCTCCAGCAAGATACATAGATCGGGGGGGGGGGTCTTCAAACTTGGCTCTTTTACAATTATTTTTGTTAGGTATTATTGAAGATTGTGACAGCAAAGAGATTATTTTAATGTTGAATTTTATTACGGCAGCAAGGTTATTGATTGGGCAATATTGGAGAAAAGACTCCTTGCCTACCTTAGAGGAATGGTTTTTTAAAGTTTCTTATTTATCAGAAATGGCAAAAAATATCGGCTTATCTGAAAGACCATTCACAAGAGAGATACAACTCTGTATGGAAAAGATGGGTAAATTTTGTTCAGAACAAATATGGGATTAGAAAGTATTATTTAGCTTTTGAATAACTTATTGTATAAAGTTGTTATGTTTAGATTTGTTGATTTTATTGTAATGGAGTTAAAGGGGTTTAAAAACTTTTTAGGATTTATGTATAATTGTTTGATGTTTATTTATTTTTTTATGTTTTTCTTTTGTTTTTAGCTCTGTATTCAGCTCTGGGAAGGGGGGGGAGGGTCAATGGGAGGGGGGAGGGAGAGAGGTGGGGAGGGATTTTATTGTAAAATGTTTATAAAAATTTCAATAAAAAACAAAAACAAAACTTGGCCCTTTTATGACTTGTGGACTTCAACTCCCAGAATTCCTCAGCCAGGCACGCTGGCTGAAGAATTCTGGGAGTTGAAGTCCACAAGTCATAAAAGGGCCAAGTTTGAAGACCCCTGCCTTATAGCATCTTTCAATACTTGAACAGTTGTCACACAGAGGGCAGGACAAAAAGTAGTAGGTGGAAGATCATTAAAGAGAGATCCAGCCTAGAATCAAGGAGGAATTTCCTGACAATAAGAACAATTAACCAATGGAAACCAATAGTTTGCCTCCCAGAGTTGTGGGTGTTCCATCACTGGAAGTCTTCAAGAAAAGATGGACAACTATTTGCTGAAAATAGTATGAGGACTCTTCTGCCTTGGGTTGGGGACTGGACTAGCAGACCTCCAAGGTCCCTTCCAGCTCTATGACTCTATGATAGGGGTCTTCAAACTTGGCCCTTTTATGACTTGTGGACTTCAGCTCCCAGAATTCCTCAGCCAGGCAAAAGGGCCAAGTCTGAAGACCCCTGCAGTAGATGTAATCCAATCCTTCTAAGAGGCGACAAATGGGGGAAAGTTCGTTTATTCTGACCCACAGCAGTTATCAAAAAATGCTCGTTACTTATTTTTCCAAATGAGGACTTTCTAAACGTAGTTGTGTCAATGCCACGGAAACACAAAATTTGACCATCGAAACCGAGAGATGACAAGTGTAGCCTTTACTCCTAAATACATATAATTTTATTTTTCTAAATGCCAGCGCAGGAAATGCTGGTCGAGGGGTCATCAATCTGTCCTTCGTGCCTTTTACATCATTGAAAAATAAGTTACCCTTAAGTTACTTGAGTTACCTATAACTTAAGTTACCCTTAAGTTACTTAAGTCACCTACAGATAGCCAATAAGAGAGAGAAAGCCCGATAGACTTTACCTACCTCTCGCTTTCATCAAAGCATCCAGCCTCTGGGATTGTGGGCAACTCAGGAACACTATAGTAGCTGTTTTGAAGATTCTGGGCAGTGCGTCTTGAAACAATCCAGACGAGTTTTTTATGGTCTGGCTTGCAGCAGGCGGGAGAAGCATAATCTGCTAAGCATTTTGAGACCAGCTCTCTCCAATACAGTAAGTCACTGTCACTTATCTGAAAAAAAAAAATCACGTATGAATTTTTTAAAAAAAGTTTCACAAATCAACCACGGCTGCCATTGCATTCACATTATCTGGCGTATAATCCCGGCTCCGCACATCCGACATCGATTCATATAGCTCAGCCTTCAAGCAAATCAACTGGTACACGTAACCGTGTGGGCTTCATTGCTGCAGTTTTTCAAGGTTGGACCACCCTCCTGTCTTGGGCCGGGAGTTAAGCTAGAAGACTCCCAAGTATATGATTCTATGAACTCAAACCACATTTGTCCCACGGGTTTTAACTGAACCCACATATGTACGAGACTGTGGAGAAATGCCGTCTGAATGACGCATTGAGGAGATAACATATATGTGAGATGATGCAACTTTTAACAGAACATTCGCTTTTCCAAGGTAAATGGGAAAAAAGTCATGGCCTGTCTTCCATTTACAGGAGGCCAGGAATTCTCTATTCCAGGAAGATGCATTTCCTTCCCAAATTATCTACCTTCAAAAAGGGAGGGGCGTTTTCCTCTATACCAGGGGTCCCCAAACCCTGGGCTGTGGATCAGTACCGGGCCGTGGCATGCCAGCAACCAGTCCGCACACACAAGGAAAGCCCCATCCTTGGGATGCAGGCAACACACAAAACCACGCACTCTCCGGTCCGTGGAAAAACCTCTCTCCACGGAACTGGACCCGGGTGTCCAAAAGGTTGGGGGGCCTCTGCTCTATACAGTTTAAAACAAAAAACCTCACACATTTTTGAATCAACTCTATTATTCCCCCCCTCCCCCCCGAAAAGGTGTAACGGGATAGCTGGACCTCAAGTAACGAATGCTGCTTTCTTACCTTGGAGTGCTTCTGAACACACAGGAGAATTTCAAACAACTCAATGGATTTCAGAGTCTCCACTTCGAGAGAGAGAAGGCACAGGGCCAAAATGGATGGCTGCGGGAGACAAAAATACACATTCAGCCCAGAAATTGAGTCACTGACCTCAACTTTCACATTGCGAACGGTTTATTTCAAACTTACTTTTGCTTTTGAAAAAACAAGTCGGCAGTTGCAAGCTTTAAGTTGTGCTTCCAGTTTGTCGAGATTCAACAACTCTTTCCTGCAAAGGGCCACAATAAAATATTACTGCCGGATGCACCTGTTACATCGGGACTTGAGCTTACACAACATTATTAAATCAGAGCCTACTAAATCATGTCTTAGTACAGGGTGTAAATCTAAACTCGGAAAATACACAGTGAATCCATTTGCTTTCCAAATCAAACAGAACAAGCTGTCTAAGATATAGCCAGATTGATTTATCTCACTGTATATGAACCATACAGAAACTTGTCAGCCATTAAAGTATCTGAACTACAGCAAATATTGGAAAGAAAGAAATCAGAGTGTTAACAGGGATAGAGGTGCTCCTCAACTCACAACCAGTCACTTAGTGACGGTTTGAAGTTACAGCAGACCCTGAAAAAGGGACTTGAGTCAGATTCAAAGCTGTGTGCAGTTTACATGCTAAGTGCTGATCATCGTGGCTTACACATCGGAATCTCAGTCATAAGTCAAGGACTCTCTGTATTGGATGTTTCAATCTTTTTTTTTTTTTTTACTGGAAATGAAAGCATTGAACTGGGCCAACATTACCTTTCTGAGGTATGGCAGAGTACAATAGTATGGTATAAGTGCAAAAAAGTTAAGGCAGTAGTTGCTTTGAAGTCAAAGTGCAGTTTTTCTGATATTATTTTCTCCATCCGCTTTAGGTCAGAAACCGTGCATTTGCATTGGCTAATTCGGATGACATCATGGAGAGACGGGATGTTGCCTTCCTTCTCGACCTGTTGAGCAGCCAGCTGGAAACAACAGACTCCGATGCAGGATAAATGCTTAGGTTTCACCTAATAGGTCAAAGGAAAACCACCTTATGAATAACCAGCTACTCGACAATACTGAATTTTTAAAATATTGCAGGTCTACTTGTTTCAGTCAACAAACTGTCTCAATTTCAGTTCTCAGTGATAGGAAGTATTAAACGAGAAAGCCTCCGATAATCTTAAATCCGCTCAACATTCCACCAATGACAAATATTTCCTAGAATTTCAGCACGTGTTCACGTGGCCTTAGTGGAGCACATATATAATTGCCGCCATAAAAAGTGGCCCGTAACTGGGGCTCAGATTGAAGAAAAACAAAGGGAGAGAGAGAGAAAAGGAAAATATGAAAGTATATTTTAAATATGACACGCTTTTAATATATAACATATGCCAGACATGTCAAACAAAAGGCCCAGGGGCCTTCATGTGGCCCACGAAGCCATTCTGGAAACAGTGAGGGAACGGCCCCCACTGCCTTGGCCCTGGCCCAGGCCGGCCAGCCGGGAGCCAATGTACAATTTTGTGGTGGCCATCTATGCTGAAACACATTCAGTCTCCCTTTGACTTTGCCCTCGTACCCATCATGAGCAACCTGGCTAATGAGAGCAAGCACAGCAGCAGCAGCCTTGAGGAGGAGGTAAGTGCAGCTGGGTGCCCCCTTGGGGAAGTGGGGCTGGGCTTGGTGCCATGGGTGCTTGAGAGCCAGGTTGGGTGTTTGACCTCTGCTGCCCAGGGCTCCGGGCAGCCCGCACCACCATCCAGCCCCCCCCCATGGTCTGAGAGGAATAGTGAGGCTCCTCCAGTGGACCATGCCTTGGCACTTGCCCTGGTCTCACCCCCTTCTGCCAGAGACCCTCAGATCTGTCCCACTCCTGCCCAGGCCCCCACAGGCACCCTTGACGCGAATGATGTAGAACTGGCCATGCCCACCCAGTAGGCCACACCCACTCCATCCACGCCCACCCAGTAGGCCGCACACCCCCTGGCCACACACCTCCAGGGCAACTGCAATATTGATGTGGCCCTCAATGAAATTGAGTTTGACATCCCTGACGTATGCTGAACAGTTACATATTAGTCTAACTCAATGGTTCTCAATCTTTTTAATGCCGCGACCCCCAACCGGTCGTAAGTCGAGGACCACTCAACCGGTCGTAAGTTGAGGACTACTCAACTGGTGCAGCACCATTTGCAGAATGGGACTTTTGGCGGGCTCAGCAGGGCAGAGACAGCCTAGACAATTCCTATTGGTTTTTGAAAGAATTAGACAATTCCTATTGGTTTTTGAAAGAATTAGACTCTATTCAAGAGAGTCTATTCTATTGGCTTTCAAAAGCCAATAGAATAAAAGGGAGTAGCACAGCTAAGGAAAAGGGGGAAAAAATGGCGGACTGCATTGTTTGGCGACCCCTGTGAAATGGTTGTTCGACCCCAAATGGGGTCCCGACCCACAGGTTGAGAACCACTGCTCTAACTGCTTAGAGAGGAACTAGATTACTTTACGTCCAGAACAAATAGTAAAGGCTGTTTATCTGTCTGCTTAACATAAAACTCTGCAACTACTGAGACAGCAATTCCTTTCCTCCAAATACCTTCATGAGCGCCAAAAACCTGTCAAGAATGTTGACAGCCAGGACAAAGGTTTCCGTGGCAAATCCAAAGAAGCTGACCAAACTCCAGAGATCTTCCACTTTTGCGTTCCTCAGTCTTGGGCATAAGGTGTTTTCATTCTGTAACAAGCCAAGCAACATCTTGATGCTAGTTGCAGAACGCTGCATCAAAGGTTTACATTGCATGAGCTCTATATTCTGATGAACCAACGAGGGCCAATTACTTGACAGCAGGATCAGAGAGACATAAGTCAAAGGGGTCAGAACCAATTCTATCTCCATAAAGGTAGTTCTCGACTTACGACCACAATTCAGCCCAAAATTTTCATGGCTAAGCAAGGCAGCCGTTAAAGTGAGCCGCACCTCTCTTTATGACCTTTTCTAACAACAACTGTTAAACAATTTGTGATCATTAAACAAATCTGGCTTCTCTCATTGACTTTTGCTTGTTGGAAGCTGGTTGCAAATGGTGATCACATGGCCCCGGGACAGTACAACCGTCATAAAGACATGCCAGTTGCCAAGTGCCCAAACTCTGATCAGGTGACCATGGGGATGCCACAACGGTTATAAGTGCGAAAAATGGTCCTAAGTCACTTTTTTCCAGTGTTGTTGTAACTCTTGAACGGTTGCTAAATGGTTATAAGTCACCTATAAGTGTAAATTGCCTTTTCAAAGTAGATTTCCTGGGAAGAATCTTATCGTTGCTTCTTTCAGAAACAAGGGTTGCTTCACTCAATAACTTAGCTAGTCTCGTGAAGAGCAAGGCCCATTTTTTAATTTGGCAGGCACCATTCTCTCAGAGAAAGCATCATTCTCTGCAACTATCTCTGGACCAGTATGCAATTTCAGCTACGTACCGTCTGAGCGCTGCCAGTTTTTCAGTAAAATCACTTGGGAAGCAATGCTCCAATAGCTTTAAAAAAATCAAGGGTGACAATCTGCTTAAATATCTGTTGTAAAAGGTGGGAAGCCAAGATCCAGCACTTATACTAGCAGAATAAGCCCTAGTTTATTATGCTGAATGAGAACATTTGAATAGATCTATTTTATACTGTAGGAAGAATTCCCCATGGTTTGTGTTTCCCAATTGACACAAAATGAAGCAAGCTGCCAGAAAGTAGGTTTATTGCAGAAACCGGACGGAGTAGTGACACAGCGATGGTTTATGGACTGGACTAGCTAGTGCAGTGGTTCTCAACCTTTTTAATACCGCGACCCCCAACTGGTCGTAAGTCAAGGACTACTCAACTGGTGCAGTACCGTTTGCAGAATGGGACTTTTGGCGGGCTCAGCAGGGCAGAGACAGCCTGGACAATTCCTATTGGCTTTTGAAAGCCAATAGAATTAGACTCTATTCAAGAGAGTCTATTCTATTGGCTTTCAAAAGCCAATAGAATAAAAGGGAGTAGCACAGCTAAGGAAAAGGGGAAAAAAATGGTGGACTGCGTTGTTTGGCGACCCCCGTGAAATGGTCGTTCGACCCCAAATGGGGTCCCGACCCACAGGTGGAGAACCACTGAGCTAGTGCCTTCCCAAGGTGAAGGGTCCTGTTTTTTTATACCCCTTGAGTTATTGAGATTATGATTTAGAGTTTGTAATCCCCTGATCTCTCCTAGTTTGTGTTTGTTTAGACCGGGAGCGTTCAATATTGTTCCTAGGAGATGTTTCTTTGTTTATGCAAATGGGTTTCTATATGTGGTTAATGTCTGTTTCGTTAGCGTTATATTGCTCCTATCTAGTGGGATCATGGGTTTGATTGTTTGTCCAAGGCATGTGTCTGCAGTTTCCTGTCCTCAGAATATTTCTTTTAGCTAAACAAGCCTTGCCTAGAATTGCTCAGGGGGGGGAGGGGGAAAAACTTTTCTTTGGTCTTTTAAATTTGGTTCGGCTTATCCCTTGAGTGGTCTTTTCTTGAGGTGCCCCCCACCTTTCCTGGGTTCATCTGCATCTGCGATGGCTGGTTTATGGGATGGCTGGTTTATGGGTCTGGATTTCCTTGGTGACGTTTCCTTTTAAACTATTTTAATTGTGAGGTTTTCTTTTCAAAAGGAAATTGTCCTCCCCGTTTCAGGGTTTTTTGTCTAATTCCGATTTCTTAACGTATTTTATTTGGGTGCTACTGACTAGCAATCTATCAATACAAAGCAAACTGCTCTAAACCAATTATTAACACCCACAGCTTCCTGCTCTGACTGCATTAAGGCCCTCCCCCACTGCTCCTGGCCACTTCCTCCAGAAACAGGTCATTATCAGCGGAGGTTTTTCATCACACCCAACTGGCAGACTTCAGATCTCCTCACCTCAGTAGTGCACTCAATCAGACTCAGCCCTTTTTCTCTAGGTTGGTATTTCGATTCCTGATCCAAATGGAGTTTAAGCTGTTTGAAGAGCCAGCTGCTCATCTGTTCTTCAGCTTCAATATTCTTCATCTAGGAAAAAAGAAAATAAAGTTTTCAGGGGGGGTGGGGTGGGCACTAAATACACAGACGACATTACTGGTTTTCCTGAGATGGGTTAGACCAGTGTTTCTCAACCTTGACAATTTTAAGGCATGTGGATTTCAACTCCCAGAATTCCACAGCCAGCATTGCTGGCTGTGGAATTCTGGGAGTTGAAGTCCACATGCCTTAAAATTGTCAAGGTTGAGAAACACTGGGTTAGACTAAAGGAATGTCTATTTTCATTCACCATCTGCGGTGCCTCCCAAAGTCACTGTGGAATCAGGAGGTGTTACAAATGCGAAAAAAAAATCAGTCAAACCAATCTCCACGTTGGTTGGCAGTCGTCTGCTTTTGCTTCAGCGAGATCATAGGATCATGGAACTGCAATGCTAAAGACCCAATGGTAGGTATATAATAACAATAGTAGTAAAGTTGGAAGGGACCTTGGAGGTCATCTAGTCCAACCCCCTGCTCAGGCAGGAAACCCTACACCATTTCGGACAAATGGCTGTCCAGTCTCTTCTTAAAAACTTCCAGTGTTGGGAGCATTTACTGCTTCTGGAGGCAGGTTGTTCCACTGGTTAATTGTTCTCACTGTCAGGAAGTTTCTCCTTAGTATGATTTCAAAGTCACTAGAATTTTTACCCGAAGGGAGCTTGACAGTAAAAGGCAGGGGCATTCTTTTAACGTCCTGAATCAATCATTTCTCCAATCATCCCCTCTGTCCAACTGCTTTTTTCAAGTTTTAAAACCATCCAATGGGAAAAGGAGACAAAGGGAAAAACACAAAACCGAATGTTCCCTCCCGCTTAAAGGACTAGGAAAAGCTTCCATTTTCCCACCTTTCACCACATAGTTAACAAAGAGGATGTTGAGAGGAGGGAGGGGGGAAGCACAGGAGAGCTTTGTCACGTACACACCATGACAATAACTCGTGAGTAACTGTAGAGGGCGACAAAAGAATACAGAGATTCCCCAGTTCTTGTAGACTTATTATACACCAAATAAAGAAAGCTCAGTTTTGAGCAGACAGGCACGGTTTCTGGTTAGCATTTTAAGAGCTTCTCCTCCGGTTGAAAGGCTCACGTATTTCAGAGTCTACCCACCTGACTTTTACTAAGATACCAGAGAGCTTAGAATAGCCTAAAACATTTCCTGTCGATATCCGTCTCTTTCTCACACACAAAGATAAGCACAATTTTCAGTTGGAGTTATAAATGCAGTTTGTTTCCAACAACCTTGAACACAGATACTGTGTAAACAAAAGGCAAGGCCTACAATTTCTATTTTCTCCTCACAGGGAACAGGACAAAAAACAAAGGGGAGGCGATATACGCTAACGACACAATGGATCATATTATAAACAACCCAGGTTAACACAAAGGATTCCTAACCCAATACCCTTACAATTTCTGAACATAAAATACTTTTTTTTGACTTTGCTTACCCTCCCCCCCAAAATACCCAACCTCCCAAAACATATTTCTCCTTTGTATCAGGGCTGCCAGAATAATCTAATACTCTCTTTTCAATAAATACCTCAACTTTAGTTCCAGTTACCCCAACTGACCAACCGTAACCCGTTTACATTTTCCTTTCCTTTTTCTCATTCCAGGGGTCTGATCTCTAAATCCTCCCCAACCAGACCTCCCCTCTCCATCTCAAGAACTGGAAAGAGCTCCCAAAATGTTGTTTATTTACCCATGTTACTGTGTTCACACCGATTCAACTCTTCCTAATTGCATAAATAAATAAAGTCTCTACCATAGCTTTTTTTTTTTTTTTTGCTCTCCCTTCCTTACCTTGGATTCTCTCCAGGGCAGTCTCATTGCTTCTCTTTTCCCTGCCATCAATGCAAAACTCAGTCCATCAGACTGAAGTCCCTCCCCCTTGAGGCTAAACAATACCTCAAAGGCCATCTGGACAGTCTGTCTCCCTAGACCAGCCTTCTCCAATCTCACACCCATTCCAGGCATCAGACAATGTCCCCCCCCCCCCACCTTATCTAACAGGCACGACCATTCGCCAAGCTGGCCAAGGCCGCAAAAGGGGATCTGATCACATGATCTCAGACCTCGCAACTGTCATAAATATGAAGTCCGCTACCCAGCGTCTGAATTTTTGATCCTGTGACTAAGAGGACCCGACAGCGGTCATTAAGTGTGAAAAACTTTTGACAGTGCCATCGTAGCTTCGAACAAGTCACTGTCGTTAAGTCGAGGACTGCCTGCGATGCAAACTGGCCGGGATTTTTCCTCTTCCCTTTTTTGGAGTAGTTGGGTGTGTATGTGTGTGTGTGTGTGTTTTGTTTACATCCAGATCATCCCCATCTTTCAATACACTCCCTGCCTTACAAGAGGGAGGGAAGCCCCCCACTGTTTTCAAAGGATCCATGGTCAAAAGAAAAGGGAGCCACAGATGCCCCTTCGGCCATTAAACAAAGCTCTGGGAGGAGGTTTTGAAATATTGCTAGCAGGACTGCCAGCTTTGTTTCCTAGACCATCCCTGGGGTAAACTCACAAAGATTGGTTGCATACATCCAAACTAGACTGGGTTGTTTCTCTGATCCACTTACGTAGGCGTATGTGGATATATGCATATTTATTTTATTTTTGGGGGCCATGTTTATGCAGTGTGTGTTGGAGGCAGTTACCCTTTGGGAGCTGTATGCAATGCAATCTCCTTTTAATGTATGCCGATTGGTATGCATTTAAAGTGACAATAAAGTTATCCTATTGTGAAATGTGTTTGAATATTAGCATTCGACATTACTATTCAGTATTATTAGTAGTATTCCACATTATACTATTCTTCCTAATCTCCGCAGGGAGATACCCCTCCCCCCCAGCACTCCCTTCGAGGAGCCCCGGCCCCCCCGACAAAGAGAATCGCGCGCATGCGCAGAGAGACCCTCTCATTTTTCCTTCCCCCCCCGCCACCATCAATTGACAGAACGGAATAAAAACTTTATCGTCACTTTAAATGCACACCCATCAGCAGGCATTAAAATCAAATTTTGTTGCATTCAGCTCCCCCCAAAAAATAAACAAACCCATTATGCATATACCCACATACACACATATAGGACACAGAGAGACGTCCCAGTCTTGACTAGCTCCCCTCCCGCGTTTATTTTTAATAGAGGGGACGTTTTTTATCGACTGCGAGCGAGAATACCGACTTTTCTAATAATAATAATAATAATAATAATAGAATATTTTGTGTCTCTCAAGAGGGCTCTTTGCCTATCTCATCCCGCCCCCGGGTGGGTTTTTCTCCGCCTTAGGTCGGACTTACCTCTCCGCGGCGGCGGCGGCTCTCCCTTCTCCGAGGTCGGAGCGGCCGGAGGAGGCAGATCGGGGGCTGAAGCGAAGGGAGGCGACCGATCCCCGCCGCTGCCGCAGCAACGACCACCAGAGCCGCAGCGGCAGCGCCTCGTCGCTACCGACCCAGCCGCCCCGCATTCAGCCCCCGCCCCGCCGCCCGGTCCGCCCTCCAGTCCCAGCTCTTCCCCGCCGGGATTTCAGCGTCCGAGCTGCACCATGGCTCTTCCGTCAGCCCCGCGACGCCGCTACTGGGAGAGGCGCCTCAGAGCCGCCGCTTCAAAATGGAGACTGCCCTCCCAGGTCCGGCGGCTCCGCCCCCTTTCCGTCACGTGACCCTCCGCTTTTGTTTTGCTCTCCTTTCTTCCTCTTTTTTTTTTTTAAGGCGTAGGGATCTACATCCCAGTGATGGGACGCTCCTTTCCCCCCCCCCGCCGCTCAAAAAAAGGGGAGGGAATTAAAAGCTTCAAAAATGGAAAAGAAAGGGTCTTTTTTTTCTCCTTAGTTTCTGCAGTGGGATATTTATTAAGCAATTTTTCCTCCATATTAAGGAAGGCTGTGCGGATGTCAAGGGAGTTCCTTTGACCTTCTCCTGGGGCAAGAGGAGCGGAAGGAGACGCTAACTTGGTCGAATCACTCCTTTAAAGGGACAAGATTAACCCAAACTACTCGGTTTGAAAAGTCCGCCCAAATGTCTGCTCTCTGATTGGCCAGCGGTGGATGAGCGCCGATTGGATAGAAGCGGCTTTGCCTTTCCAGATATCCCTGGTCTCGGTTGTTTTGCCATTCAAAGCACTTGATGCTTATTGGTTGACGGTGACGCCAAGCTCTGTTTTTGGCCAATGAGATTTGCTCTTTATTTCCCCCCCCCATTCACACACCCTCTGTTATTTTACAGCTGCGTCAAACGGGGTGGGGCTTCTCCGTCTGTTGCTCAACTGTCATTTCTGTGAGGGACGGAAAAGCGCTCTGAGGCTTTTTCGCTCCTCCTTAGTTTTTAATCTTAGGCTTAATTATTAGCCTTTTAATAAAAGTGCTCCATATCTCCTTTGGAAGATTAGGAAACCATTTTTTCTTTTTAACAAAAAGCTTTTTTTTATACGTAGAAGTAGTCTATTCATCAACTAAATAATGGGGAATATATTCTATTCAGGAAGTCTTGTGTAGGTTTGCAAAAATACAAACTCGACCGGGAGAAAGGGTGACATAATCCATAACTTTCATACTTGTGGAATCTACATTGATTGCCAGACAAGATGGACTTTTTATTTGGCCAGAAATATACAGGGAGTCCACAACTTACGGTCATAATGGAGCTTGCCCATTAAGGTTGCTAGTAGTGATGGCTGTTAAGTGAGATGGCCTTGCTTAATGACCCCCATTCCCTGCTTTCCCCCATATGGACGTAAAATGAATGGGGGTTATTAAACAAACCATGGGGTGCTTCAGATGGGAAGGCTTTGGGAGGCCCAGAGCAGACCCAGGCCTGCCTATCCTGGGTCTCCATACAGCAGGGGTGTCAAACTGACGGCCCGCGGGATGTGGCAAGTTTGACACCCGTGCCATACAGCAACAACACCTTGTTACTCTGCTTCTTGCCTCTCAGGGTCCCCATAGCCTTTAGACGTGCCTTCCTCATTTTCCTGCAAGCTTCCCCCCTGCTATGTCTCTGCAAGGCTTAGTCCTCACTACCCCCCCCCCCAGTCATCTGTCAATTGAGGGCCAAATATGGCTCTTTTTAGGCTTGTGCCTTGGCATGCAAATTTTCCAGTGAGAGACAAGAGACAGGAAGATCATTCTATTACAATTTATCAGAATATTCAGACAAATGAGATTCCTCTCATTCAAAGAGTCAACATAACAAAGCAAAAATGAAAGAGGAAAGTTGGTTGATAAGATAAAAGGAACCCTTCCTTTGCACAGTGAATCAACCACAAAGATCGTTTGAAATTAGATAACCAAATGCCAGTTGACACTAAGAAACCTTTTCTTATCAGGAGATAGTATCCAGCCATCCTTATGTAACTTATCTTTTCAGTTTAGGGATGTTAGAAACTCTTGTGGAAAAATAAAGCATTAAAAAAATAAAGGGCTTTTACGAAATTCCATGGGTGAAAGAGAGATCTTAGCCTGGTACCCCCTCTGCTGAGTGCAATAGCAAAAGTAGGGGGAGGCAGGACTTACCCTTGGGCTTGGTCTGTATGGAAAGCGAGTCTGGTCAGGAAGGGAGAAGGCTGGTGAGGGTGAGGGTACTCCGGGGAGGGGAGAAGGTCGGAGCATCCCGGTCATGACTGGGATGGGCAGATATGGCGGGAGCCAAGGGGCAGGCCATCTTTGGGGAACGAGGACTCGCTATGTTAGAGCGATTCCTTGTTCCGGCCCCTCAAAAGGCTCATCCTGTAGTACTGGTGACAGGGGAGTACAGGGCCCTAATTGTAGGCTGCTGTTGCTTAATGCCAAGTCCGTTGTCAGCAAAGCCCCCCTTGTCCGTGATTTAATATTGGACAGCGGGGCGGACCTGGCATGTATAACCGAAACCTGGCTGGGCCCTGAGGGGGGTGTTTCCCTCTCGGAGATATGCCCGGACGGGTTTGTGGTGCTTCATCAGCCTCGACATCAGGGCAGGGGTGGGGGAGTGGCAGTCATTGCTCGGAAGTCCTGCCCCGGAGGTTGTTGGGTGTGAGTCCCTCCTATTGAAGTTGGGTTCACAGGTTCAGTTGGGCTTGCTGCTGACGTACCTACCTCCCAGCTGCGTTGCAACAGCCCTGCCTGCGTTGCTGGAGTCAGTAGCCGGGTTGGCGGTGGAGTTCCCCAGACTTATAGTACTGGGGGACTTTAACCTACCATCACTCGGCGATCGCTCAGAGGTGGCTCAGGAGTTCATGGCTTCCATGGCAACCATGGACCTGACCCAGGTAATTCAGGATCCGACCCATAGGGGTGGTCACACACTCGACCTTGTGTTTCTCTTGGGCCAATGGAGACATGATCTGGAATTAAGGGGAATAGAGATCTCGCCCTTGTCATGGACAGATCATTTCCTATTGAGGCTGGACTTCAGAGCATCACTCCCCCATCACAGGGAGAGGGAACCGACTAGGTGGTTCCGCCCCAGGCGCCTAATGGACCCAGATCGGTTCCAGGAGGAGCTTGGGGAAATACCTGACTCCCTTGTCCACAACTCGTCCGGGTCCCTGGTTGCGGTCTGGAATGAGGCAGCGTCCGGGGCCCTGGATCAAATTGCGCCTTTGCGACCTCTCTGTGGTGGTGGTCCCCGGAGGGCGCCTTGGTTTACTGAGGAGCTCCGGGAGATGAAGCGCCACATGAGATGTCTAGAGCGACGTTGGAGGGCCAGTAACTCTGAATCTGACCGATCACTATTAAGAGCCTATCTTAGGACTTATTTAGTGGCGATAAGAGCGGCAAAGCGTGTTCACTTTTCTGCACTTATTGCGTCCGCAGAATCTTGCCCGGCCGCCTTGTTTAGGGTGACCTGCTCCCTTCTTAAAGTGGAGGAGGCGGAGGAACCCTTGCAGGGGAGAGCTGAGGAGTTTGTTCAGTTTCTTTTGGACAAAATCGCTCAGATTCAGAGGGACCTGGACTCTGACTGGGCAGTGCCAGCCGAGTTGCCAGGGGCTGGTCTTAGTCATGTTATCTGGAGCGAGTTTGAGCCTGTGACCCCTGATGAAGTGGACAAGGCCGTGAGGGCAATGAATGCCGCCACCTGTTTATTGGACCCGTGCCCCTCCTGGATGGTTTCTGCCAGTAGGGAGGTGACACGAGGCTGGCTCCAGGCGATAATCAATGCTTCCTTGATGGAGGGGTCTTTCCCGCAACCTTTAAAGGAAGCGGTGGTGAGGCCCCTCCTCAAGAAGCCTTCCCTGGACCCAGCTGTTTTGAAGAACTTTCGGCCCGTCTCCAACCTCCCCTTGGTGGGGAAGGTTGTAGAGAAGGTGGTGGCGTCTCAACTCTTGCGATCCTTGGATGAAACCAATTATCTGGACCCTTTTCAATCTGGTTTCAGGCCCGGCTACAGCACTGAGACTGCTTTGGTCGCACTGACCGATGACCTCTGGCGAGCCTGGGATAGGGGTCATTCCTCTATCCTGGTGCTTCTTGACCTCTCAGCAGCTTTCGATCCCATCGACCATGGTATCCTTCTGCGTTGTCTCGCAGAGGTGGGGGTGGGCAGCACCGTATTGCGGTGGTTCTCCTCCTACCTCTCTGACAGGTCGCAGTCGGTGTTGGGTGGACAGAGATCGACCCCTAGGCGCCTCGATCATGGGGTGTCTCAGGGCTCGGTCCTGTCCCCCCTCCTTTTTAACATCTACATAAAACCGCTGGGTGAGATCATTCGGCAACACGGGGTGAGGTATCATCAGTACGCGGATGATACCCAATTATATATCTCCACCCCGTGTCCTTTCAGTGAAGCAGTCGACGTGATGTGCCGGTGCCTGGAAGATGTGAGGGTCTGGATGGGGGTGAACAGTCTTAGACTCAACCCTGACAAGACCGAGTGGCTCTGGGTCTTGCCTCCCAAAGGCCAACTGGATGGTCCATCTTTAGTCCTGGGGGGGGGCAAATTTACCTCCCTCAGTGCAGGCACGCAACTTGGGTGTCCTCCTGGACTCACAGCTAAATCTGGAACAACATCTATCGGCTGTGGCCAGGGGGACTTTTGCACAGGTTCGCCTAGTGCACCAGTTGCGGCCTTATTTGGACCGGGAGGCTTTACTCACAGTCACTCATGCCCTTGTCACCTCAAGACTGGATTACTGTAATGTGCTCTACATGGGGCTACCCTTGAAGACCGTTCGGAGGCTGCAGTTGGTTCAGAACGCAGCCGCGAGAGCAATTGTGGGCGCGCCAAGGTACGCCCACGTGTCACCTATCCTCCGCGAGCTGCACTGGCTTCCTGTGGGTCTCCGGACGCAATTCAAGGTGTTGGTTATCACCTTTAAAGCCCTTCATGGCATAGGGCCAGGTTACTTACAGGACCGCATTCTGCCGTACAGCTCCCAGAGACTGGTGAGGTCCCATAGATTGGGCCTCCTTCAGGTCCCGTCGGCCAGACAATGTCGGCCGGCGGGCCCTCGGGGAAGGGCCTTTTCTGTGGTGGCTCCGACCTGGTGGAATCAGCTTCCCCCCGAGGTTTGAACTACTCCCACCCTGCCGGCCTTTAAGAAGGCCGTTAAAACCCTCCTGTTCCGGCAGGCCTGGGGCTGATGTCCCCGGGGGGCCGGGATATGATCGGACTCGCGGTA